CGGGGCGCGAGGACGCGGTTGTTGAGGTAGCCCGTCTCGACGACCGTCGCGCCGGCCTCGACGTCCTTCGTGACGCACGCGTTCGCGCCGACCGTCGCGCCGTCGCCGACGGTGATCGGGCCGAGGACCGACGCGCCGGAGCCGAGCGTGACGCCCGCGCCGACGGCCGGGTGGCGCCGGCCGTCGCGGACCTTGCCCGTCGCGCCGAGCGTGACGCCGTGGAGGACGTAGCAGCCCTCGCCGAGGCTCGCCTGCTCGCCGACGACGACGCCCGTCGCGTGGTCTATGAACGTGCCCGCGCCGACGGACGCCGCCGGGTGGATGTCGACGCCGAAGAGCGCCGACGCGCGGCCCTGCAGGAGCAGCGCGACGTCGCGGTCGCCGCTGCCCCACAGCGCGTGCGCCGCGCGGTGCGCCGCGAGCGCGAGGAAGCCCTTGAAGTGGAGCACGACCGCGAGCGCGTCCGGCGCCGCGGGGTCGCCGTCGACGACGGCCGCGACGTCCCGCGCGAGCGACGGCGCCGACGCCGCGAGCGCGCCCCGGAGGCACGCCGCGAGCTCGTCGCGCGGCAGGCCCTCGGCGCCGCCGCCCGCGACTCGGTCCGCGAGCACGCCCGCGACGGCGTCGGCCAGCGAGTCCCGCGACGCGATGCAGCGCGCGAGGTACGGCGCCAGCACGGGGCTCGCCGACGCCGCGGACGCCTGGGCGCGGATCGTCGTCCAGAGCGCCGCGTCGAGGCCCTCGGCCTCGCCGGCGGCGCTCGGCGATGTTGTGCGGCGCGGCAGCGCGCTCGGCGACGTCAGCGCCGAGGCGACGGCAGCTAGGCAGAGGCTGGCGCATACGCGACTCATCGTAGGTCGATTGCCGGCGTAGCACATACGATTTGCCGCAGCTGCAGGCTTCAACCTGCTTCAATTTGCATTCAACATAGGGGTCCGCCGGCGCGCGCAACCACGCAGAGGCGCCCCGTCCGGACGGGCACAAACAACGCGAAACACAAAACGCCGGGCCCTTAGGTCGACGTCTCGCTGTCGTAGCGCGGGTTCGCGTCGAGGAAGTCCCAGACGAGCGCGGGTATCTGGTGGCTCGCGTGGCCGAGGAGGAAGGCGAGGACGGCGGCGACGACGAGCTGGACGATGCCGAAGCCGCCAGCTTCGAGGTCCTCGGCCTCGAAGGCCGCCTCGAACCTGCCGCGGGGGGAGGCGCGTCGCCGCGCGCGCGCGGTCCGAAACGGCGGGGACGCGGCGGCCGCGCTCGGCGACGGCCGCGGCCTTGTCGCGGCCCGCGGGCGGCGCGGCCCGGAGCTGCTCGAGCTCCCGTCGCGCGT